ACTGGGGTGCCTGGCCAGTCTGGGTGAGGGGCTGAGGGCCGTTTTCAGGCTGGCCTGCAACTGAAGCTCCCAGCCTCTCCTTTCCTTCTTTTTTCTTTTTAATTCTGGGATTTATTTACCTTCTATAATTGAAACTCTGTTGCCTTCACTGGCGCTGAGAGCCCAGCTCTGAGGCTGTGGCCGGCTGAAAACAGGTATCTGGGGTTTGTTTAGCTTCTATAATTGAAACATTGTTGCTTTTGGAGCTCAGAGCCGGGCCACAGCAGGCAGGGAACCTTGGCTTCCTCCATCACTGGAGCAAGCAAGCCTCCTGCTCGCTTCAGCTGTGTGGCTTCTGGCCACCATCTTGGTTGGCGGTTAATTTGCATATCACCCTGATTAGCCAATGGGAAGTGTAGCGAAGGTACGGTCAATTACCCTTTTTGTCTTTTATTAGATAGGATATATATATATATTTGGTTTTAGAGAGAGGAGGGGAGAAGGAATAAGAGCTAGAAACATCCATGATGAGAGAGTCATTGATCAGCTGCCTCCTGCATACCCCACACTGGGGATTGAGCCTGCAGCCCAGGCATGTGCCCTGACTAGGAATCAAACCATGACCTCTGCGTTCATAAGTCAACGCTTAACCACTGAGCCATGCTGGCTAGGCTTATTACTGTATTTTTAACTTTCTTTTTAAAATTGTGTAGGGATGCAGGCCCTTGCTGGGTAGCTCAGTTGATTAGAGTGTCATCCTGATGTACCATGATTGTGGGTTTGACCCCTGGTCAGGTACATACAAGAATCAACCTATGAATGCATGAATAAGTGGAAAACAAATTGATCTTTCTTTTTCTTCTTGCCCTTCCTCTCTCTCCAAAATCAATTTAAGAAAATTAAAATTGTGGAAAGATTCATACACACACATATACATATGCAAAAGACTATGTAAAATAAATACGTGTATAATTAAAAGAATGGAAATAGTCCTAGCTGGTTTGGCTCAGTGCATAGAGCGTTGGCCTGCAGACCAAAGGGTCCCGGGTTTGATTCTGGTCAAAGGCATGTACATTGGTTGCAGGCTCCCAGTCCTCGACGGGAGCATGCAGGAGGCAACCTATCGATGTGTCTCTCTTACATCGGTGTTTCTCCCTCTCCCTCTTCCTTTCACTCTCTCCAAAATTCAATGGGGAAAAAATATCCTTGGCCCTAGCTGGTTTGGCTCAGTGGATAGAGCAGCCGTGGGCAAACTACAGCCCGCGGGCTGGATCCGGCCCATTTGAAATGAATCAAATTAAAAAAACAAAAGACCGTACCCTTTTATGTAATGATATTTACTTTGAATTTATATTAGTTCACACAAACACTCCATCCATGCTTTTGTTCCGGCCCTCCAGTCCAGTTTAAGAACCCATTGTGGCCCTCGAGTCAAAAAGTTTGCCCACCCCTGGGATATAGCGTTGGTCTGCAGACTGAAGGGTCTCAGGTTCAATTCTGGCCAAGGGCACATGCCTGGGTTGTGGGCTTGATCCCCAGTAGGGGGTGTGCAGGAGGCAGCCGATCAATGATTCTCATCATTGATGTTTCTATCTCTCCATTCCTTTCCCTTCCTCTCTGAAAAATATATAAAAAATGAAAAAATATCCTCAGGCAAGGATTTAAAAAAAGGGGGGAGATAAAACCAATACCAGCGTACCCATCCGGTTAAGAAACAGAACATTTGCAGATCTTAGAAGCACCTGTGGCCTCTCTGAGTGGCTCCCGCTCTGTCGTCTGTTATCATTTTGTATTATTAGGGCGGGAGGGACACAAAGGCATTCAACACTGAAGGAAGAAATGCCGTTTTCTCACCTGCGGGTCTGACATGAACAGTGCAGGTGGATGGGGCAGCTCTTGCTCCACCGGGTCACTTGGGAACCTGATTTCTATGTCTTTGCTTTCCACCGTCACTGGGCATCTCACCAGCTTTGTGGTTGAAGCTGCGTCATGGCACGGCTGGGTGCCAGTGGCAGGAATGGGAATGGCTCCCTGAAGTCTCAGACCCAGACCCAGAGCTGCCATCGCTTCTGCTGCGGGTCCATGAGCAAGGCCTCAGTCACATGGCCATACTTACCTGCAGGGGATGGCGAGGACTGCGGAGCCTGTGGACAGCCTTGTGCCTAGTGAGCACTGTGACCATCGGGAAAGGAGATTGGGGTCTGGGGGGCAAAACCCATGAGCATTCCCTCGCTTCTGTTTGCGGTTTTACCACCTTGGTGTGCGCCTTTCAGCACTCTCTCTCAGTGAATGAAACAGACACAAAAGTGAAATGGAAAGCACAGACCCCGCTGTGTAAGGACAGGGCAGCGTACCACCATCCAATGGAAGGTCTCCAGGAAAATACAGACTGAGTGCAGGTTCTCCGTCATAGTCAGCCTTCAGTTTCCGATCGGTTACAGGAGCCCCTTTAAGATCAGCGGTGACTGGGCGGACGGTTCACAGGGCAGGCCCAGCAGGGGACCCTTCGAGAGGCCTGCTATCTAGGCTGGCCCTTGGCTGGCATCTGGGAGCTCGGTGTCAGGAGGGCTCCGCCGTCCCCTGAAT